CGCGGACCCATAACATTTTGGTATCAGAGCAAGGCGTCATGGGTGATCTGGAGCAGCTGCCGTCTAGGGTCCACGAACTCGAGCACTGGCTTGTGGAGACCAGCTCGGAAGTACGGGAAATCAAGGACGAAGTCAGGGAGCTACGACGTCTGATGGAGTTATTCCTTTCTAGCAAGGAGAGGAACACAGAAGGGGAGGCAGCCACTAGCGGTCGCCGACCGGATTTGTCGAAGTCTTCCGGCGAGCAATAGATCGTCAACCAGGGGGCCGCGGTCATTCCCAAGTACAACAGGTTGGAATTTCCATCGTACAACGGCAACAGAGATCCCTTGGGTTGGCTGTACCGGTGCGAGCAGTTTTTTCGCWATCAACGGACAGACGACCGAGACAAGGTAAGCCTAGCCGCCTTTCACCTAACGGAGGAAGCGCAACTCTGGTTCTATCGATTGGAACAGGAAGAACCCGGGCTCAGTTGGACCCAGTTCAAATCCTACTGCCTTCTTAGGTTTGGGCCCCCACTGACAAGCAACCCCTTAGTGAACTGATCAACCTCAAACAGACAGGAACGGTGGCTGAATACCAGCGCCAATTCCAGACCCTCCTTGCCAGAGCAGGTTCGGTATAATCGGACCAGCAGGTAGACATGTTCACTGCAGGGTTAGCAGAACCCTTGAGGGTGGATGTGGAGATGCAACACCCCCCCAACCTGGTCACAGCCATGAATATAGCTCGCGCCTTCGAACGCAAGCTACAACTCATCCGCGGAACCTTCAGTATGGGGCGACCTCCATCAGCATGGGCATCCCCGGAACCACTCGGAATGGCTTCATATTCAGCAGCCAACCAAGAACGGAAGCCACAGACGAGCAACAATTTCAGATCAGCATCCAGTGTGCGGAGCAGCGTCGTTGCACCCCCTATTAAGCACTTGTCTAGGGCTGAGATGGCGGAACACAGGGCGAGGGGACAATGTTTTAATTGTGATGAACTCTACTCAGCAGGGCACAAGTGCAAGAGACTTTTCTGCCTCCTGGTGAAACAAGAGGAAGATGAGGATGAACCTTCTTCATTGGAACCCGATCCAGGAGGGCAAAGTCATTCCACCTATCCGGGATTCCCTTGACTGTGTTTCAAGACACCCATCCTGAATTTGAGCTTGAGGACAAGCTCGGAGTCCAGGAGGGGAGTAATGATGTGGACGCGTATTGGGAGCAACAACAACAATGTTCTGGTGTTCTCATCCTATCCAATTCGGCAACAATAGTCTTATCCATTCGGCATATTAGATTAGACTATCTTGTTATTCCTATCTTATCTTATTAAGTTAGTAGATTAGATTATCTTATCTTATTAGATTAGGATTAAGAGAGACTTATCTTATCTTATCAGTTCAGTAGGATAGATTAGTAGGGAGTCTTCCTAATTGGCAAGGAGTCTTCCTAAAAGTAGGACTCTTATCTCTTGTAATCTCCTATTTAAGGAGCTGAGAGTATTGAATAAAGGCATCGAAAATTTCAATCAAGAAGAGAGTAAGGAGAGTTAGGTGATCTCTTGGACAAATCACCGTTAGGGCGGCCAAGATAGGTTCATCAAGAGCAGGGAGGAACAAGGGAAAACAGGAGGTTTTCCTCATGGACCGACCCGTGATGAGATCCTATTCGCGGGCCCATAACATTGTAATTGCTGTTATTGGATTTATGGTGTATGGATTCCTATCCATTAAACTTGTAATCTTTTTTTCCTCAATCAATGAAATCAGTTGCTTATTCAAAAAGGGACTAAGTGTTGAGAGCCTAGGTCCTGGTAATGGCCTGTTGTAACTATAAAAACTATTGTTTCTCCTTTAGGTGTTGTAGCATCGGTTGTTGCACCCTAATATTTTAAAATGCATGGGAGGCATATGCTTGGAGGTGCTCCTCCAGGCTAGGTGTCCCTAAAACGCCCTAAGGTGCATGCTAGAGGTGTTTATGCCTTTGCGGCGTATGCCTCATGCATCTTGTGCATGCCTCATACAAAAAGAAAGAAAAGAGGAAAGGGAAGGGAATGAAAAAGAAAGAAAGTAACAAAAGAAAAAAAAAGAGAAAAGGAAAGGGAAGGGACACTCACTCACTTCACTCGCTCGCCTCTGCTTTGACAGGAACCCCCCCCCCAAGTTTATCTAGTGTTATGCATCTTCATTCTTTCTTAATACAAACCATCTTCATAAAAAGAAACAAGGAAAAACAAGATGTGATCCTCCTTTCTCTTCTTCTTCTCCCTCCTCCTTTCTCGCCTCTTAAGGGGGCTTTGTTCCTGGGAGGCTTACACCTTTTGCATTTTAAATCATTGGTTGCATCCTTGTGCATATCCTTAATTAGGTCCACATATCTATTTAGGACTCTTCTTTTGCAAAACCAACCATATTATCTTCCTAGGGACTCTATCATACACTTTTTCTAGATTAATGAATACCATATGAAAATCTCTTTTCTTCTATTTGAACTTTTTTTTCCATCAATTATCTTAATAGA